CTCTCAGAGGTGGAGAGAGAGGACAGGAAAAAACCTCCGGGTGAGGCTAAGCCGTCTGGCATGTCACTCTCCCCACATACCTACTCGTTCATTCATTTGTTCGTTCTGGACGCTATCATGTACCAGACCTTTTTTTGCACTGGGACTCTGAGGCAGACCCCACTGCTTTGCCCTTGTAGAACTACAGTATTATCCCCAATATGGTAGCCATGAGCCACATACGGCCATGGAGCACTGGAAGTATGGCTTGTTTGCTTTGAGATATGCTGTCAGTATAAAACATGCCCTGGGTTCTAGAAACTTAGGCTAAAAGAAAAATAGGAATGTAAAATATCTCATTAATATTTCATTATGTTGAATATATTCCAAAACCATACTATTTTGGATATGTTTGGTTGGAGAAAAAATAATATTAAAATTAATCTCAGTTTCTTTTTATATTTCTCCACATTCTAATTAGAAAAATTTGCAGCCACACTGGTAGCCTGCTTCATGTTTCTGTTAGGCGGTGCTGTTTGTATCGACTTGCAACCTAGGGGAGAGGCTGACGTGTAAGTTGCAAGCCTGGGGGTGGCGGGGATGTGGGGAGGGTGACATCACCAGCTGGCTCAAGGTGCCCTTGGAGGAAGCCCAAAGGACAAGTACTTGGGCCAGACTGTGAGGGACACGGGTGGCAGGCATAGAGCAAATTCCTAGGAGAGCTGACATCTAAGCCAACACTCGCACAAGGTAACCCAGCATATACGGAGGCCCCAGCAAGCTTCAGATCCTTCTCGAGCGTTGGCAGTGAGGGGAGCACAAGAATTGAAGGGAAGAAATAAAGCTGGAAAAGACCATCAGCTCCTGAGGCAGCCAGTCCAGAGCTGACCAGCAGCATTAGGGTGGGAGCTACATTCAAAGGTCTAAAGTTGCAGTGGTGCCTATAGCTTAAAGGAGTAGGGCAATGGCCCCATATGCCAGAGGTGGTGGGTTCAAACCCAACCCTGGCCAAAAACTGCAAAAAAAAAAGTCTCAAAGGCCTAAAGTTGTTAGTAGCCACATTCAAAACAGCACAAGGAATTATTCTCAGTAACATTTTAGGTAACCTCAGGTATTTAAAGTATCATTTCAATGTGTGACAAATGTCAACAATTCTGATGGAGATATGTTGCCCTCTCTCGATGATTGGTAAGTTTCAGAAGTCTGGTGCATGTCACGTGGCAGCGTGTGGCAATCTGTACCAGCCATATTTCAAGCGCCCAGTGGCCCATGGACCAGTGGCTACGGTGTCAGGAGTGCAGGTCAACTAGACTTTTCTCTTAAATACAATGGGAAAGGTTTTCAGCACAAAAGTGCTTTAGAAAAAATTTCTCTGGCAGCTGCCTGGGAAACACCTCCTCGTGCTACCGAGCTTTCTGGATCTCAGGGTGCTGCCACCTCACCACCCGTGGCCCCTCTACTTACATGCTGGTCACTTGGGAGCAAGCCTGCCTTCTGCAGACTCTCCCCTGCCTGGTGTTACTGGAGAGCTGGTTTGGGGTATAGAAAGCAGAGCCCTGTCCTGAGTTTTGTCCAAGGTCCTGAAAGGGGGACGCACCTCCCCCTTTCTGGAGGCAGCCAGAGGTTACCCCCTGGATGGGTTGTCACTGGGCTTTGCATCTGTGAAACTGATGGGGGTGCTGGGCTAAGAGGCTTGGTGTCGGGATAAAAGGAAGCAACATGTTTAAGATACCTCAAGTTGGGATCTGAAAAAGAATTGCCCAGAGGTAGTTTCTTTCCTTCCAAGCTACCACCAGTAGGGCCCTTTCACACTTCCAAGAGCAGAAAGACTCAAACCACCTGACGGGGCGGGGGGGGGGGGGGGGTGGGGTGGGGGGGGGGGGGGGGGGCGCGGAGGTCACTCTATTTAAATAGTCGCTAGGAAATGCTCCTAATCCTTTATCTATCCTTCCCCTGGGGAGACTTCAAGGAGTTAGTTCATTTCAGAAAGAAATGTCAGAAAAGTATGCAGATTAGAAGCAGCCCTGCAGGGGGCTCCCCGCCCCCCCCCCATCACAATAAGCTTTAAATGGTGAGAAAACAACTTTTCAGTTTCCCTGGGCTCCAGAAGCAGCTTAAACATTGTTCCTGATCTCCATGGCGCTTTTCAGATGCTTAATGACTTTCCAAGAGGAGAAACAACTGGATTCTGGGGAGCCATTATGGAAAGGGAACCTGCCCCTTCCAACTGCCTTTGAGAGTCAAACGAGGCAGCCCAGTCTGGGCAGAACTGGAAACAGTGCCTGCTGGGCCTGTAGCCTTTTATAGCCGGCACACCTGAGGGAACACAATTCTGTCCTTGGTAACTACGCAATCTTTGGGCAAGTTGCTTATATTTTTGAACATCATAATACTTAATCTGTAAAATGGGTATTATATATATAGTTTATATAAAATAATATATGTTATATATTATATGGCAAAGTAAGAATTATATAAGTAAGGTGAGTGTATACTGGCTAACTATTGCTACATTTATCCCCCAAATTAGTTTAAAATAGCATCTGTGGCTGGCATCTGTGGCTCAAGCGGCTAAGGCACCAGCCACATATACCTGAGCTGCGGGTTCGAATCCAGCCCGGGCCCACCAAACAAAAATAATGGCTGCAACCAAAAAATAGCCGGGCACCATGGTGGGCACCTGTAGTCCCAGCTACTTGGGAGGCGGAGGCAGGAGAATTGCTTAAGCCCAGGAGTTGGAGGTTGCTGTGAGCTGTGTTGTCACGGCACTATACCCAGGGGGGCAGCTTGAGGCTCTGTCTCAAAAAAAAAAAAAAAAATAGCGTTTATGATCTCTCAATTTCTCTGCCATGAGGAATCTGGGTATGGCTTAGCTGGGTCTCTTAGCCCTCGCAAGGCCACAATCGAGGTGTCAGGAAGGTCTCATTTAAAGGCTTGACTGGGAAAGGGTCTGTTTCTAAGCTCTCTTGATGCTTATTGGCAGGATTCAGCTCCTGGTTTGATTTTGGACTAAGGGTTTTGTCTCCTCATTGACTGTTCCCTAGGGTTTCCCTCAGTTCCTTGCCAGGTGGACATCTCCAAAGGGCAGCCCACCCCTTGGCAGCTTGCGGTATCAGAGTGAGAATGTGAACAGAGTCCGAGAAGCAGGGACACTGCAAGATGGGGTCACAGTCTCTACAACCAGATGTGGAGAGTGACAAACCCTCGCTCTGGCTGCATTCTGTGGCTTAGAAGCAAGTCACCAGGTCCAGCCCTCAGTCAAGGGTAGGAGATCAGACATGGCCATGACCCAGATGGCCGGATCACTGACAGCCATCCGAGAAGCGTCTGCTACTATATAATGCTTCACTGCAGCTGTTGTCATGACCAACTGTGAAAGCCCTTTGAAAAAGCAGCGTTCAGCATGGAACTAGAAGGAATCTACTGATTATATACCCGGGTCACAAATTTAGCAATCACATGACATTATCTATCTGTAAAACACAGGCCAACTCTGACCAATGCCAGGTTGTCAAAACACTGCATTTAAGGACGCATTTAATTAATATCAAATGTGGATGAGTTAGCATGTTATCAGATCACAATCTTTGATGCTGGTGATAAGGGAACCCATTTCCCTATATGATGTTTAATTGTATAGCCATATCTCTTTCTAATTATTTTAGAATATTGGTGTTTTTATGGAGATGTCAATAAAAAATGCATCTGCTGGTTTTCTCATTTAGCAATATTACAAAAGCATTTACGCCTTCTGTGCAGGCTTTATAATTAGCTGTATATATCTTTATATTTGTTACCAGCTGCCTAACGTTTCCATTCAGCAGATAAATGTAAGGACCGTCATTTACTTAAACATCCTTTTAACTCTGGAACATGGAAGTTGCTTCAGAGTTTTACCATCAAAAGCAATACTGTGTGATTGAGCAGCTTTTTTGTGTAGTAAGTTTTTCCTCCTTTCATTTGAATTATGTCTGTAGGCTAAAGTTCCAGAAAAGCCATTAGAATACAAACATTTTAATGACTGTCAAGTTCATTTCCAAATGAGTAGAAGGTTTTGATTTTCATGTAAGCAAACAAACACTGCTCCATCAGCCACAGATTGAGTTACCCAAAGGCAATGCTGTATTCTGCTTTAAGTTTTGTAGCATCTCGAGCCTAGAGGCAACATTTAATAGATATTTGTGGACTGACTGAATGAACAAAAATATTTAAAAATGTGAGACTTTAAGAAAAATAGGCTGGATCTATTGTTATTTTTGTTGTTGTTGTTTTGGTTTTTTTTGAGAAAGAGCCTCAAGTTGTCACCCTGGGTAGAGTGCCATGGCATCACAGCTCATAGCAACCTCCAACTCCTGGGCTAAAGCAAGTCTCCTGCCTCCACCTCCCAAGTAGCTGGGATCACAGGCACCCGCCACAACGCCCGGATATTTTTTGGTTGCAGCTATCATTGTTGTTTGGTGGGATTGGGCTGGATTCGAACCCGCCACCTTAGGTGTATGTGGTTGGCACCTTAGCCACGTGAGCCATAGGCGCCAAGCCTGGATCTACTGTTAGTTCTTCTCCTCACCCTCTTCATCTTGAGCTGTTGGGTTTCCATTTAGATTTCAAGAGGGTCCCGTTCGTACATTCTTTCCAAAAATCGGGACTTTTTAAAAATGCGGCGGGACGCGGGACAAATTGTTGAAATGCGGGACTGCCGGGATGTCTGATCACCCTAACCTTGTAGCGTGTATTAATAATTTCTGGAACTCCAAAGAAGCTTCCCCACTCTTTGAAGACATTTTCATCTACTTTTTTCAAGAGGTATTTCCCTCTCTTTTTAGACCCCAGGAGACGTTTGCATAAGATCAGAGCGTGTGGATAGCACCAGAATGTATTTGCACCCCCAACAAACATGGCCGATTTAAGCTTGAACCACAGCGCCCCCTGGTGGGAAGTCAATGGTTTGCGTTTCTGAGTTCCCTTTCACCTGGGTGACATCTCACCTAACTAGAGTTGCTGTCTCTCACCTTGTCTTTCAGGTGAAGGAGGCCATGCAACGGATCCACGACCGCGGGAATATTGGCAAGTTAATTCTGGACGTAGAAAAGACCCCTACCCCACTGGTGAGTGGAAAGCAGAGGAAGGGTCCATCAGGGGTAGGCACAGGTGGGGAGAAAGGAAACAGGTGGGTGGAAAGGAAACAGGGTAATCAAAGGAGTCCACAAATGAGGGACTCATCACAAACTGAGATGAATGCTAAGAAGGAAAAGCAAATGCTTTGATGAGAGCATTTTAAGAGCAATCTGAAGGAACCCATTCCCTATATGATATTTAATTAATGACTGTCAAGTTCATTGTAAGCAACATATATACAATAGACAGGACAGGACAGAAGCAATAAATATGTCTATTACAGGTGCCGTGTCTTGGCTGCCACAAGTTGGAGAAATTTCTGGTAAATCACAATGAATTCACAGTTTCCTAAGAGAATGGTGCCAACTGCTTCTAGATGGTCTCTAATCATTCCATTGATCTTGTTCCCTTTTACCAGGGGAGACCACTAGGGGCATAGCATGCCAAACTCACATCCCCTCTGCTCCAGCAAGGGCTGCTTGATGAGGGCCCGTGTGTGTGGTGGTCAGGGAACACGGACTGTCAAAGCCCAGCCCAAAGCCTCTGTGTGCGACATCACTTGGCCACTCTGGCATTGCCCTCCCCCTACCATCTGTAAACTGGAGATTGACAGATTCCCATAAGTCAGTTAGAACGACATCATAGAATGTCACCTGGTCCATGCTAAGCTCCAGGTAACGTCTAATAGAGAAAACACTTAGGAAGGGATTTCTGCTTCTTTGTTTACACACATTGACCATGAAGTTGCATCCATCTTTTATAAAAGAGAAAGAACTAAAATTTCTTACATATTTTAGCCCAAAATGTGAATTTTTTAAAATACTCCTTTGGCTTTTATAATTATGATGTAGTTTAGATATGATGGCCATTTCACTCAGTGAGGGACAACTTGATGAGAGGGCATTTTGGAATGTTTAAGTGATTGATTATAATATGGAATAGATTATTAGATGCTTACTAAGCTTCAGGACTGTTGGAAGGCAGATGAGGGGACACGGTCAGGGAGGAGAATGGGGCTGGGAGATGGGAGGTCCTGTGCACCTACACTGTGGCCTCCGAACATGTGACCAAGTCTGTTATTTCAGCTCCCCTGGGCTGTCCTGGCAGCTTGTTGCTTCCAAGCAGAATGGTTGGTAACAAGTCCCCCCACCCCAGGTGCTGCCTGTCTCCATCACACACGAGATGCTATCAGGGCCGCAGGCCCACAGGAATGGCCTGAGGTGGGGAGTCTCATCAGAGCAGGTGCTGAAAAGCCCACCTTTCAGGGAAGAGCTCAGGACCTGCCTTCACATATATCACTGTTCTTATTTCTGAACCTCATGAAGGCTTTTACCCCTGGGAGTTAAGAAACTAAGATGGTAGCTCGGTGCTTTTGGCTCAAGTGGCTAAGGCGCCAGCCACATACACCTAAGGTGGTAGGTTCGAATCCAGCCCGGGCCTGCCAAACAGCAATGATGGCTGCAACCAAAAAAAACAGGCAGGTGTTGTGGTGGGTGCCAGAGGCAATCACAACTCTGCCAGGTATTGGTGATGGAACAAAGGAAAGGAGTCCCTGTCCTCCTAGAAACTATATTCTGAGGGTTGGGGGGATACAGAGAGCAAAGGAAATGAACACACACTTGTTAATGTTGTTTTTGCTCTGAGTAAGGACAGCACCAAGACTTGGACACTGGCGGGTCTGTGTCCTTAGTGGGTTCCCCTGCACACCAGAGCTTCTCTTGTGGGTACTGCCCTTTCTCCCTAAGAGCCAGCTCTGGCCACCAGAGCACACCTGGATTATAGCCCCAGCCCACGGGTGATGCCAGGGAGGTCGCACGCCTCCCGAGAGAGCAGCCCTTAGCCTCACACTGCAAGGTGTGTCCTTCATGATCTCTGAGTCCAGCAGCCTATGCAGGACCCTGCTAACTAACACGCCCTGTAGCAGCATCCCGGCCTTTTCTGCCTCCTTTCCCCCCTCCCCATCTAGGGCTTCTTGGAATCATCTCCCAGATTCCAAATACTTGCACTCCAGTCCTCATCTCAGAGCCTGCTTCTTGCAGACCGTACACCGTCTTTGAGAAGCAAGCAACCCTAGCTCCAGACCCCAAGAGGTCCCGGGGCTGAGGGGCTCAGAGAAGGCAGGGGGCAGGCTGCAGAGTCATCACACATGTCCTGTGTTGAATCTCAGATGGCCAACGACAGCACGGAGACCAGCGAGGCCGGGGAGGAAGAGGAGGACCACGAGGGGGACAGCGAGAACAAGGAGCGGATGCCTTTCATCCAGTAACAGGACCCAGGGAGGATATGAAGGATGGTGTGAAGAGGAGGACCCGGCCGAGAAAACCCTTCTGTGCCCCAGTGAACAAATGCTGTAGTCCCGTGCGTGTCGTGTTTGTCTGCAGCCAGCTGAGCTACAAAGCTGTCGATCACTGTTGTTTTTTGAAATTAAGTGCCAATCCCATCCCATGCGGTTATTATGTCCCGCCCCCATCTGTGTATTACACTCTCCCTCACCCCTGTATCAAAACCACTCATGTGTGGGTCCCTCTCAAAAGTTCTAGAACAGCCTTGCAAATTAATACAAGCCCAGAAGCAGAATGCCTGAGAGACCAGATGTGGGCAAAGATGAGTGTGGATTGAAAGGGGTGATCACAGAGCACCGTCCAGGTCCTAGAATTCTTCAGGCCAGTGACACTTTTTGGGCCAGCCACCAGGCCTCTGATGAGAGCACTTGCCAAATTTGGCCGGCAGAAAAAGGGTAGGCCGGGAGATGTTTTCACGAGCCCATAAATTTAGAAACTCTCCAACTAGTACTTTTTCTCTCTTTGTTTAAGAGGCAACTACAGTCAAAAGGTTTGAGCCACCCTCCTTTGTACCCCTCCGAAGTTTGGCCCTCGCACTGGTTCTTCTCCTTAAATGCAAGGAGGTGGGTGTGGCTCTTTCAGGATAGAAAATCAATCAACAGCATGAGTTGGAGGACCAGCCACAAAGATTCTCCCCACAACCACATCTCATGAGCTGAATCCTCCCCCCACCCATATTTGTTTTAATTTTAAGAAGACTGACCACGTATGGGACTAATTCAGGAGTCATTACTGAGATTCACTTGTGTTTACACACACTTGTCATCAGCATTACCTATTTTTCAATTCCTGATAGTAAGCGGCAGCCCCCTTTACTGAAAGGAAGAACTCTCTTGCAGACCCTATTTAGAAAAATCAATGAGTATCGTTTCTCTTGCCGAAGCACGTTCCGACATGTAACAAACTCTAGTGACAACAGAAGGCTGATGCTCACCACCAAATGGGCAGCTTCTCCCCTCTGGTACACAGAACCATGGTGCATACTCTCCAGGGCCCCTGCTCTTTGGAACCCAAGAATCAAGCTACTTGCTTACCTTATTCAATTTTCAAGCTCCTAAGCTCCTACAGACCCCATTCCCACCCTCATGCCATTTGACTGCGCTTGAGAGGTGAACCCTTGAGGAAGAGAAAGAATGTCAGGGTCTTTCGAAGAGATTTCCTCATTCTCACCTTTGGGCCAAAAGGGTTCGCTCCATCTCTCACGAACCATGGTGGAAACACAAGGAGCCCACACCACTGGCACTCTGACTTTCTTTGTGTTCTGGGAAACCTTGGAGGATTCCTGCATTGCCCAGTCTCCCCACCAACAAGCCTTAGGGTGGGCCCAACTCTTCCCCCAAGTGGTGGGCAAGAAGGCATTTCAGCAAACGCCTGTGCCATTTCCAAAGTCCCTTTGTAAGAACTGTCGCCTCATGCTTCATGTTCCTTTGTATCCTATCCTAAGCTTGTGATGATGATGTATTTATGCCAAATATTTATGGGAAGGGAGTTTCTCCTCATTGTAGATGTGCATGTAAAATATGGAGACAAGAAAGGGTGCTGTCATCTGACAAGCCAAGGGATCAGAGGATCTCAACAGAGGATGCCACTAACACCTCCTCCTGCCCCAGGACTCACCAATATCCAGTTCTGGGCCATCTAGAAAGATAACGGGGTGTTCATTCCCCCATTACCTTTGCTAAGTGCCATATGATTAGTTGTATTTCTCCCATAACTATGCTGAAAGGAAGTCTTAAGAAGAACCACCGTTCAAGTGACATTTCCAGTAAGCTGGGCAGAAACAGGCATTTTCTAGGGCTGAAGGTGCCGAGAGCCACCGACCATTAGCTCTGTCCTTCCTCAGGGGAGTGGGAACTGGATGACGTTCAGAATGGAGGCCGCCTTTGTCATGCCCAGAGGAGAAACATGGAAAATCATTCCCCACCCAAATCCGGGCAGGGGGGTTGTTACTCCATCAATCACAAATTACACCAGTTGATTAAAGAAAATCCTTTCCTCTCCTGAGAATACAAAATGTGAAAACTAGAGTTTGACCAATCAGATCAATTTCTGCCATAAAAAATGGGGGGAGGAGGGTGGGGAAACATTCAAATTAACTGTTTCATGTACTCTCATTTTAAGCACCTTCTTTCCTATCTCTTGATTGTTTTTTTTTTTTTTCCCTGAAGGAAGTGTAAAGAACATCTCAGTTTGCCTTAAAAGGAACTGTGAAGGCTTCTCTGTATTTTAAGCTTGATCGGAGTGAACTGAAACATTGTCTAATGTCTCTGTGGCTTTAGAGCTTTTGTTATATTGTGCCTACAAAGCGAATTATGTTTACATGAAAAATATAAATAAAGTATTCAGCATAGCAAGACCTCTCCCTGGCAACTGTTATTCCCCATAAATCACATTGTTGGATACGGGGTCTCACTATTACTAACAACACCCAAGGAACAGGTAACTGAACAAGGAAAAGTTAAAAGCTTGATAGGAGTATCCCTGAATGAGAAACTGAAGACCCCAACAGAAAATCAGGGCAGAGAAAAGCCTTGAAAACAACGCTCAAGTTCAAGTTCAAAAATCAGGGCTGAGAAAAGCCTTGAAGACAACACTCAAGTTCAAGTTCAAGCTAGAAAGCGAAGCCACTAGAAAAGTGATTTTCAACCAGCGTGCTGTGAGAGGATCTTAGGTACGCTGTGAAAAATGTTAAAGATTGTTAGTTAAATTATTTTCAAAATAAGTCCACCGCACAGTATGTATATTCTCTTTTTTAAAATCAACATAATATTAAGTGTGGCATGAAAGTTTGACTATAAGTTCAAGTGTGCTGTGAGTTGAATAAGGTTGAAAAGCACTGTACTAGGCTCAGCGCCTGTAGCTCAAGTGGCTAGGGCACCAGTTTAAATCCAGCCTGGGCCCACCAAACAACAATGACAACTACAATCAAAAAATAATTACTGTATGGAACATTAAAAAAAAAAAGCACTAGACTAGATAAAAGAACTATTAAAAACATTTGTAGTAGTAACGATAATGATATAGATGATAATGATAATACAATAATTATGACAAACATTTATAAGTCACTGCTGAAGGACCCATATGTACCTCTTCCCCACATCCCTAAGAGGTAAGTATATCACCATCATACAGATGACGAGACTGAAGGTCGGGGAGATTTTGATCACATGGGTACTAAGCGATGGAGCCAGGACTCACCAATTCAAGCCCTACCTTCCCCACCAGAGTCTATGCTCTTAACCACCTATGACACAGTCTCAAGTTAGGGTAAATAAAATACAATGCATTTCAATGATCATCCTTTGCTCACTGAAACTCTTTAGGGATTTTGTTTCCTGGATTTAGAGGATATGCTTTGCAAATTTGTTTTGCTTTGTAGCAAATAATACACATATTAAGAACAAGCACTTTTCCCCGCCGGGCCCTCCAAGTGTTTGGCAAAGTGCTGATTTTAAAATTCACACATCTCAACAATATCCAATCTTTATGACCTAAAATCCTTAAGTTTATCAAAGAGATACATGAAGAGTATCTCCACTGGCTGGGGTTTCATGGAAGGGAAATTTATGATTTCTCTTCATCATAAAGCTGTACTATTGTTGTATTATTGACCATATTTCTCAGTAGGGTGCCAATAAAATCAAACCAGGCCCCACAGCTATAAAATACTACGTGTATAAACTGAATTGGCAAAGTACAAAAATCATTTTAGTCAGTTAGTCATGTCAGGGAAATGCTTACAAAGTCATTGGACTAAGGATTTTCTCAGATACTCTAATTTAAATGCTCATGTTCTTTGTATAGACCCTTTGGGTGCACCGAGCCAGGGTTAGTCCTATAATCCTAGCACTCTGTAATCCTACCACTCGGAGAGGGTGAGGTGGGTAGATTGCTTGAGGTCAGAACTTTAAGACCAGCCTGAGCAAGAGTGAGACCTCGTCTCTATTAAAATAGAAGAATTTGCTGAGCAATGAAGGGCACCTATAGTCCCAACTACTCAGAAGGCGGATAGGAGGACTGCTTGAGTCTGAGAGTTTGAGGTTGCTGTGAGCTCAGATGATACCAGGACACTCTACCCAGGATGACAGAGTAAGACTCTCTTGAAAAATAAAAATTAAAAAATTAAAATAAGCTTATGCAGGTAAACATATTTAATATGTACCCATACAGAAAGAAATAAAAAGGGGGAAAAAAGCCTTAAAATCCACAGCTTGCTGGGAGGCCAAAGCAGGAAAATCACTTGCGCTCAGGAGTTCGAGACTAGCCTAAGCAAGAGCAAGATCCATTTATACTAAAAATAGAAAAAATAAGCTGAGCATAGTGATATGTAGTTTTCCCAGCTACTCAGGAGGCTGAGGCGGGGGGAATCACTTGAGCCCAGGAGATAGAGGTTGCTGTGAGCTATGGTGACACCTCTGCACCCTAGCCTGGGAAAAGAGTTTTCTCAAAAAAAAAAAAAAAAATCCACATCTTCACTTATAACTCTGAGATTGGAAGGCAATCTCTACAATTAGAAACAAAATTATTTTTAGCATGTTGGAGGAAGTTAGGTGGTCATGGACATAAGGCTTTTCAAAGCCATTGGGGCACAGGGAGCATTTGTATGAGAACCAAGAGAAATTTTCAAGGGCACATTTAGATTTGAGGAGCAGAGAGTTGCAGAACCATGTAGCTGAAATACAAGATTGTGTAGAATGGCTAGAGCAGGAGGCAGGCACGATGGGAAGTTGGTGCCAGGTTGGGGGTCTCGGAATATCACACTGGTCATCTTTAATGCCCAAGAAAGAGGAACAAGGCCATGCAATGATGTGAACTGGCAGCCTGGGTGTGGAGGAGAATTCGGAGGGTGGGCGCAGGGATTCATGGGAGGAGAGATGAGTGCAAAGGTGTTCAGATAGCAAATGCCTTGTCTACCTGCCTTGCTCTGGATTGGGTCCTCCAGAATCAGCCATTGAAACAAGAATTTGAACGTAACTCCTGCCAAGGAGATGATCTCCAGAGGCACAGCTTGGCAGTAAGACGGGAAAGGGCCAATTGGAGGTGGATTGGTGAGCAAGTTACCACTGTAAGGCACTGTAAGCATGACCAGAATTGTCTCCCTGGGAGGGTAAGAAGGCAGTCATGTGTATCCATCTCTCCCACACACTGCTGGTTGAGGACTTCTCTCAACAAAGGGTGCTGTTCCCTGCCACTCCTGGCTTGCTCTTTGTATGAACCAGCCTCAGACAAGGAGCCACAGGAGCCCCTGGTCTGCTTGGGAACAACCAGAGCAGACAGAAGCAATGCCCACAGCTCCTGTCTTAACCCATCCCAAGAACTCACTTTTTATCCTGAAGTCAAAGGGGAAAGCTTGTGAGGTTTTCCACAAATGACATTCTAGTCTGAGCACTCTGCACTCCAGCTGCCCCATCACCTCATCCACCCCTTCCTTCTGGCATTTTGTTCTGTCGACTGCCCAATCCCTTGCCACCTCACCAGCCTGTTACCTCATTGGGAACTCCCTGCCAGTTTCAAGTCCTTTCTTCATGGGAACCAGAAAAACCTACGTTACATAATGCCACATGTTTGTTCCATGAACATTTATTTGCTGTGTGTGTAGAACCTTGTTCCAGTTCCTAAGAATAGCAATAAATAGAAAATAAAACAGAACTGCCTCAAGAAATTCACAGTCTACTGCTGTGCTATCCAATAGAAATACAATGTGAGCCACAAGCAAAGTTAAAATTCTCTAATAGTCACGTTAAGAAAAAGAAATTTAATTTTAACATATTGTATTTAACCCAATATAGAGTGTTAATCATTTCCACACATAGCCAACATAAAGATTATGAATCAGATAGCTTATATTCTATTTTTCATACTAAGACTCCAAAATCTGGCAGGTATTTTAGAGTTACAGCAGCTCATCTGAACTTTGTCTAGACACATTTACATGCTCAGAAGCACCTGCGATCAGTGGCTACCATTTTGGACAGGAAAGCCAAGAGGAAGGGTAGAAGTGGATACTGAGCTATATAACCTCACTTCAAGGAATCAACGTTACAGGGCCTAATAGAAAGGTAAAGTAGGAAGGGGGTGACCCTACAATGGAAGGGGGCAGTGAGGGAAGTGGGCACAGTAGAGGTGATGCTTGAATGACGTCTTGAAAGATGCCTGGATGTCATCCATGAGGATAAGGTACTTACCACTCACAGCATAATGCTTGGCACACAGTAAGCACTCAACAAGCCGTAGCTTCCGCTCCCTATCTCCGTTTGCCAAGGCTGGGGAAAACAGCATGCTTGGAAAATAGTAGCTTCCTCTTCTTCTTTTTTTAAACAACAGAGACTATATAGATCTCAATATTTTGCTTCCAGATTTGTCTGTGGGAGAGAACAAAATAAATGTTTTTGTGTTCTCTGCCATGAGCAGAATAAGCTAAGTTCCTATTACCAGCCGAGCAAAGATGCTGGGGAATCTGTCCCCGGAGCTATTCAGATTGGCACCCAAACAAAGAAGCAGCTCAGACAGGAGTAACGGAAACATAAACACAGCATGGGGACCCACACGTGCACAGTGATAAAGCCTTGGAATCTCACAAACCAGGAATCAAATCTGGGCAAAATGCTCAGCATCTGAGCGTTCTTCTTTTAAAATGGAGGTGTTCATGTTGTCTGGGTCCTAGAAGATCAAAGGTAGCAGGGTATGTGTAACCCTACGGAAACCACGACTCACAAGTTCCAGTCTGAAAGCCAGATTATGAATGCCTTTAAAGTAAGGTTGTTCCATTCAGCCAAGAGACACTGATCAAATGCCTAGCATGTTCCTGACATAATATTTTTAGTGCCTTAGCTGCAAAAATAAGAAATGCAAAGCCTGTGCCATCCAGGAGCTCACAGTTTAATATGAGATAACAAGTAAGCTTTGCCTCTTGTGCAAATGGCTGTTTATCTGTAGAGCCTGCTTTGGTACTGAAAGCTTATGTGGGCTGAGTGGTAAAGGGTGCTGTGACAAATGAACAACATCTGTCAGAAGCAGGTAAAGAGAGCTATCTAGAAGAAACTGCTAGCGTTAGGTCATCAGTGGGGAAGCACAGGGTAGGTTCACAGAATGGCCCACTTAGCTATTGCATATATCAAGAGAAGAAGGCCTGAGTTGGCTTGCGCCTGTAATCCTAGCACGCTTGTAGGCTGACATGGGTGCACTGCTTGAGCTTGGGAGCTCAACACCAGTCTCTTGCAAGACCCCATCTCTAAAAATAGCCAGGTGTTGTGGTGGTCACCTGTAATCCCAGCTACTTGAGAGGCTGAGGCTGAGGCAAGAGAATCACTTGAGCTCAAGAAAATTTGAGGTTGCTGGGAGCTGTGATGCCTCAGCA